TCAGGCTGCGCCCGGGCGGTGCGGTCCGCCCTCATGGACGCACCGCCCGGGCAAAGCTGCAGCCGCCTGAGGCTCTATACAGAGCGCTCGGGCGGCTGCAGCATGGGGGGGGGGCGGCAAGCGGCGGGGCTGGCCATGGCACCCCCCACCCTGCTGGCACCCGGGGCGGACCGCCCCCCACCCGCCCCCCCCTTAGTACGCCACTGCACCAATGTTGTGCCAGTCTCATTATGGCTTGCCCCACAATCTTGATGATCTTAGCCACGCCAATGCTTTCCCGTAAGAAAGTATTGAGAGTCTACTGCGCATGTCCTAAGCATCTCCTCATAGAATCAGTGCAGCTTTATGGGGATCATTCAGCGTCTCTATGCGGAGTGTACACTGAACATAGGTACTGCAAACTGTGCAGCACTGGACTAGGAAGCACCTCTAGTGACCGTCTGAGTGGTGGCCACTAGAGGTGTTACTGGGCAGCTGTGTATACACTGCCTTTTCTCTGAAAATGCAGTGTTTACATTGCAAAGTTTGAAGGGAAAAACTATAGACACCAGAACCACTACATTTAGTCGCTGAAAACAAAGCTTTGTTCATTTATAAAAAAAAAAAAGACGGAGGCACCTAACTTTTTCAGCTGGCTCCCAGATTCAAAGCAAATTTGTCAAACCTTATAATATAGAAGCATTGAATTCAATGCTTCCCTATTAGGAGAATTAGATTGAAGGAGTGCAGCAGCACTCGTCACACCTGAGCTTCTCACATTTGAACTGATCATATTTCCTTTATTTTAAATTTTCTTCAGTTGTCCATTTTGACCTAACATTTTCAATTTCTCTTGCCAATAAACGTCTGTGTTTACCCGTGTCCTGTATCACATGACACACGTCTTCTCGACTTTCATCATATATTTTGAATGCTTATATTTAAGGTTTCATAAATACCTCTTGAACATCCTGAGGGTCCTTCTTGGATATAAACTAAGGGAAAGGAAGAAAACAAATAGATTAGATACCATTTTATTCCACGCTTCATGTATTTATTATTGCAAATATTTACATGAATAAACATTAGCAAACATGTCAAACTACTGTTGATAAAAATATAAAAGTATCTTGTATACTCTGCCAAATGAACCTTAAAATGGCTGATAGAGGGTTCCCCTTATTCTGTACTCGACCTGGGTAGATCTCTGTGCGCTCCCACACTAGGAGTGTTGTACCCAAAGGCTGCACATAATGTGAAATAATTCTGTATATTTATAGATACCTGTATACAATCAGAGCAACATACCTCAGCCTTCACCTTGTACTCTGTGTACCCTTTGGGGTGGGTCCGGGTGTCGGTCACGTGATACCTTCGTTCATACTGATCCCGGTTACCTCGGGACATCTTTTTGTGGGTGACAGATTTGCTGCGGATGCTTTAAGAAGCCCTGCGTCTCCTGTGGTCTCGGAGCATGCGCATTGCAATACCTATGCCATCCAGACCTCCAGCAGCAACAAGGATCATCCGCAAACCGGAAGCAGCCGAGTTTGCCATCCAATGTGCTTTGCGCATGCGTGAAGAGTGATAGGATTTTGTCTAACCAGAAGTTAATGGTATAATGTTATATGACAGGCCAGATTAGTAACTTTAGGGTAGTATCTGTTCAGGATTTAGTCCCTAAACTCACTGAAAACTAGACTATAAAATAATGGGCTAAAATAGCAAAGCTGTGAATAAACTGGACAATTTTCAAAAAAAGAGCTACTTTTACCTACTTATTATTTATTACCGGCAACTATAAAGCCCCAACACATTCCGCAGAGCTGTACAATTGGGAAAAATGCTGTACAATTTACCAAGGTTTAAATCCCTCAGATTGTGAATTTGCTTAACCAAGGGCCTACTTTACATCTTACTCTTTCTATAAAGCACTCCTGAATATGTTGGTGCTATATAAACACTAGTATACTAACTACCCTAAAAGTGAGACGCTTACCAGACCAGCCATGTTTTTATGGATGGGTATCTCTTTTACATAGCAACGTACATGTGCTTAAAAGATACCTGTTATTCTACACACAATTTTTTAAAATATTTTAATAAACACTTTTTTTATTGTATGCAAACATTGTCCTACTTAGTAGAATTGCTAGCAAATGTATATATTGGGGGGTGAGGAGGGTGAATGGTTAAAAATAGGTCTCCCACCCCCCAGTCCTCTATGCCAAAGAATTGACTGGCAAGGGAGAGCATAGAGTATACTGTAAAGCAGGGCCGGACTAGGAAAGAAATTCAGCCCGGGCATTTTTTAATCACCGTGGCTAGGGGGCAGGGCCAGTGAGGGAGTATTTTGTCATCACCAAAGACAAGCATGCCCCCTCAAAGTGAGCATGTTGGTTCAATGCACTTCCAGGGTCCCAATGCACAGTGTCCTGCTAAAGAGCTCAGCTTGCGCATGAGAAAAGGGCTCTGAGCAGCGTAACCGTATTTAATGACACGCTTACCCTGCCTTTGTTGGTCACTTGTCTCTGGTGACTCCTTAAATGCTGTCCCAGAGTACAAAAGGGCCAGTAAAGAGTATTGTATATGTGTTTGGAGGTTGCTTGTGGGATTGCGTGTGTACACCGAGGTGATAGTGGTGTGGTGTTTTTGTTTCAGTTGTGCTTTGTGTGTGTGTGTGTGTATGGGGGATGCAGCGAGTGTTTGCACAGCCACTGTGGTGTATATCTGTATACATGACATATGTATAGGGGTTGTAGAGTGTGTGTGTGTGTTTAGGGAATGTAGTGTGTTTTTGGAGTAATGGGGATCTAGTGTGTGCATAGATGATGCAGTGTGTATGTCAGGAATGTAGTGTGTGTAAGTGGTGCAGTGTGTACCTAAAGACAATCTAGTGTCTGTATGGGGAGGATCTGGAGTGTGTATAGAGGATGTAGTGTAGTGTATGTATAAAGTTGTGGAGTGTGTAAGGTGTGTGAGAGGTTGTGTGTGTAGTGGTGCAGTCTGTGTGAGGGGTCTAGTGTTTGTTGGAGTGCACTGTGTGAGCGATGCGGTGTGTGTGAGGGCTGATGGGTGTGAGGGATCTATGCTGTGTGTGGGTGGGTTGAATGCAAACAAATGTATTAAAAAAAATAATGATTTAAAAAAAAAAGGAAAGAAAACAAAGCTTTATGTACCCCCACCCTTCTTCTTACCTTGGGTCAGGGAGGGGGACTTACCCAATGGCCAGTCTGGGCCTGCTGTACAGTTTGGTGGAGGTGGGATGATTGGTATGGGTTGTTATTCAGGGTTTGGACTAGGCCTCTTAGATCCAGTGAGTTGTCATCTTAATGGTACAGGATACAAGGACATTTTATACAAGTGGGTGCTTCCAACTTTGTAGCAACAGTTTGGGGATGGCACTTTTCTGTTCCAGTATGGCTATAACCCTGAGCACAATTCGAGGTTCACGAGGGTGCGTGGATATTACTATGTATACATACATGTCCCCTCCCTCTTAACTCTCACCCTCCCTCGTTATCTCTCCTAGCAATCTCTCATGTCTCCTGTTTTAGAAGCTTGCTCATTCTCAACACTCATTCTCAACATTTTTTTATCACTCTCCCCAGTTCGTTTGTTTAGTACGCTTTTCATTCTCATTTATTAGTATCCCTTCTTATCCTCATTCTCAGTCTTACCCGCCAATTCTGGCTGCCCACCTTGTGGGATGGAAGTGAGCAGGTAAGTGAGTTTGCTGCTCTGAGCACAGTTCAAGGGGCAGGCCCATCCTTAAGGAGGTGCTCTGTGCATAAACCTAGTGCCCTGTCTCCCTCTGCATCTTAAAATCTGCCTGGTAGATTTCAAATTGTGTTACAGGTCCACGGTACACAGTTTTTCAGGGAGGATATACCCAAAATGCCAGACTGTTGGCACCTATGCCCAGTGTCCCCACTTAGTACCCTCCCTATTGTCTTAACTTAGGAAATGCACAGAGCAAACAGCAAGATAAAACCAATAAACTACTTGGTAACAATGCAAAATGGGCAGGATGGCACACTGTCAGCAGATGCCTATTCCAGTTCCCTGAAAGTCCTTTCAGGCACTGTTGGCCGGTGCACTGCACTAGCTCCCAACATTTCTGGCGAGGGTTGCCAGGAAGAACAATAAAACTTGTCTCCCTGCTATGTGAGCGGGTTAGAGATATAAGCAAGTCTGGTTAGTTTTCAATCTCTCAGCCATAACAGCACCACAGAGTCCACACTGTGCAAAGGAGAAGAAATAGAGAACTGAGCTAGACAGAATGTGCTTCTAAGGCTTCCTATAGTATATTGCTCCAGGGTAAGAGGTGAGGCACAACCAGGTACCTAAAGACACATGCCCATTGGGTATCTCTAAATGCATAGGCCACCTGATGGGCCCCCTCAGAGTGTGGGCCCAAGTTCAGCTGTTGTAAAGAAAGATAAAATTGATTTTACAATCCTTATTATAGGTCTGCAATGATTCCTCATTCCCAACTGCTATAAGAAACCTCTTTAAGATATAGGGGTTTATTCACTAAACACTGAATGCAGTGAACATGACAGCCAATTATTATTAATTCAATACAAGTAGGTGGCCATATCTAGAAGCATAATGCTTTACCTCACAAGGTTGTACTGTCTAAGCATTGTTCCATTAAGATATATATGTCCTAATGAAAGGGTAACATGGGATACAGTGCACTATAAGGAAGGTGTTTTGAACACTCACTGTACATTTTACTTTTTGTTTACATGTGGCAGTTTAAATTTAGACTCTGTGGCTTCAATGCATGTTGTGTTTTAATAAAATAACACCTCTATAGAAGATGGAATACAATATATATATATATATATATATATATATATATATATATATATATATATATATATATTATTCCATCTTCTATAGAGGTGTTATTTTATTATACACATATACACACACACACACACACACATTATAGCCCTTTATCACAATTTTTCCCAATTACAAAAAAAACACAAAAAAAAAAAAAACAGCACCATGGAGATTAAAAGTGAACAAACACATACGTGTAACAAACATTTATTGTTACCTAAAAGTTACATTAGAGTTGTAAACATTTAGAAAACAGTTGCATGTCTCGTTTTCTCACAATGCAGATTAACAGATCAGTAGATGTATAGTTAATAATTTATCTACATTTAGGGGATTGGCTTGTTTTCCTGTTTACGGAAACTTAGAAATAAATGTGTAATAACAGAAGCATAAGAACATTGCATCAATGTTACCTGAAGTAACATTATGGCTACTTACAAGTCTATTTAAAGAGGGTTATTAGAAGATATACCCACTGCAGGATAACTTTTTTTTTTTTTAAATATATGTTCTTCTTCCAACTGGCTGGCTTTTGGCTTTTATTGTACTGCTGGTGGAAGTTCTCAGAAAATTATTTTGAAAGCTTGTAAAAGCAGAGACAATAAGCCCCTGTTTGCAAACTAGATTTGACCAGCACCAGTTTCTACCATCAAGCAACCATTACAAAGCAATTGCAATAATCCACCATCAACATTTGGGAAGATCACATGATTTGAGAGGGGGGTGGGGAACGGGACATATTTTGGATAGTCAAAAATTTGATGTTTACATGTTCTCTGAGGATTACAACATGGAAAATAACCTAACAGGGCAGCTAGTATTTTTTATTTGTATTCAGTCAGCATCTGCAGTATCATATCCCCACTCCATAACCCCAGAGGAAGTAGACTTTTATATGTATCACTCCTAAGACTATGCCAAGTTTTGACAATGTTTACCTGTCCTGTACATTTACCTATTCTAATCACTTCACAGCTCCAATGACCAAATATGGTGCATACCAACCAGGTACAATCAAAAGCCAGCTACACTTCACAAAGGCACATGATAGATCTCTTTTTTGACCTACAATTGCTTAGAGAATCAGTTGTGTCAGATGCACACCCCTGGACCTCAATACAGATTGTTACAAATCTCAAAAAGGCAAAGATAATACTAAGCAAAAAATATAATTTGAAACAAAATAAAAATTGTCAATTGATTACCCATTAGATTCAAAACACATATTGCATTTTAACTGACCATATTATAGTAACATTTTAGAATTGTGTTTCTATAAAATGAATTCTACCATGTCTGCTGAAATGCATGACCACAAATATGAATTTTCGATTATGCCAGGATTCTTTTAGACTCCAGAAATATTACACAATTCAGATGTAATATTAAATATTTTTGGTGCTTTATTGATCATAGGATATACTTGAAACAATAGGAAGCTCAAGTTGATTTTCTTGGTAAAACGCTTCCTAAATAGGGGGGAGGTGGAGGAAATATGCATCCATGCATTATGTTGCTGAATAGATTTAATTAATATGTAAGCAGCTAATGTTCTTATTCCAACTTTAAAGGCAAGCGATTTTTAAAATGAAGTTGACATCGATTAATGGAAATGTTTAGGACTATATTATTGACTTATTTTAGTTATATTTTAGAAGGGTAAGAGATATCTGATCTTCCTTCTATGTTAAACAAATCCAAATTCATACAGTAGGAGCATGCAGCCTCTTTCTGTATATCCTTGATTATATCAGATCCCATCTGTGTTAGTCTTGTAAGTGCTCAGCTCTTTATTAATTTTGCCATATATCGCTCACTTAGGCTTTGCAACTGTCCAAACATTAAAGAAAAATAAATAAGTGTTTTTTAATTCCACTTGTCTCCATCTCCTTCCAGGATCATTCAGTCCGCTGTAAATATGCGACTGGAAACGTCATCCAATAACCAATCTATACCAGTAAGAAGGTTTTCCCCAGTTACTGCACTGCAGTCTTGAATACACCAGTGATGAGACTTAATGTTGTCCAACTCCAATGCCTGCAGAGAGAAAGAGAGAATGGTGAAGGCCAAGTCCTTGACCAAACTGACATTTATAGATCGATCCAGACATGTACTTATGCACCAGGCAAAGCATGACTGGTCACCTTGTTACAGCTTATGGAGAAGGTAATTAGGCAGCATTTAAATCACATTACAGAGTGAATAATAAAGTCCACTTTCATCATCATACTTGTTTATCCTATACTTCCAGCAATCACAGCCTTTTTTAGTTTTATTTGCACCGTAATTTTACATTACACCAAGCCACAAAAGAATGTGCATAAAACCATAAATTTTTTTTACGTATTATTAGAAAAGAGAAATATACAGAGGTTAGTCAGTCTGATTAAGAGACTCTTTTCAACATTTTACATGGATTTGGTATTTATTTTGCCCGATGCCTGGGACATGCAGTTCAGGTTGCCGGGCGAGCACTTTTTTTTATATTTTTAGTCCTGTCGGTCATAGTGCAAGGAGCAGCAGCCGCTCTTCACGACACACAGACCTAATGGCCACCGTGATACAGCATGACGTCATATCTGGTGCACTGAGAAACGTAAAGTCAAGGGGACAATCTGCAGACTGACTGAAAGATTAAGGCTGGTGGTAATGTGAAATAATGAATGGAGCCATACGGTATGTGGATCTGATGTCGTTTGTGTGTAAATGGTCAGTGTGTGTGTGTTACTAGTTTGCCTGCGTGGCAATGTGGAGTGTGTATATTGATCAGAGAGTGTGTTTTTGTGGGTGTGTGTCAGAATGACAGTGTGTAGGTCAGATTGTGTGTGTCAGAATGACAGTGTGTGTGGGTCAGTGACTGAATGTTGCACTGTATGCGTCAAAGTGCGTGTAGGTTCGTGAGAACAAAGTTTGATTAAACTAATTCAACAACTAGGACTTTAATTTTTGAGAGTATTATATACACACACACACGTATATTAAAATACAAGCATAATAATATTTACATGTGTATAAATTATAAGCATTACTTATATATGCGTACAAAACTCAAATTGTAGAAAAAAAAAAAAAATCTGAATCACATTACTTTAATTGCATTAGTTGGCATGAGAGAGCAGTTCTATTGAGCAGCCATTGATAGGTGGGGAATCTTCTGTTACAATGGGAACGGACATGGGGACTTCACATTTTAAGAAAACGGATTTGAAAATAAATCAATTTGGCTAATTTAATGTATGTATTGTAAGTTGGTTGCAAACTCACTGTTTAGTGAATAATTTCCTAAGACTCCCCTAAGAGGTTTGCCTTGATGTGGCAGTTAGGCTAATATCTTATTGACTTTACTAGCTAACCTCCATGTATTTAAATATGCATAGGGATTTGGGCGAGTGTGCAGGTGACTTTTTTCTTTGCTTATTTAATAATCTCACAGTTGTCCAGCTAAATTACCTCTCGGATGGCATCTTTGGAAAGAGCGCCAGGCAAATCCTGTTTATTGGCAAACACCAATAATGTTGCTCCTGCTAATCGCTGTAAAAGAAAGCATGCATCGTAATTATCGTGATCAAGATGAGTATTTTACAACAAAA